ATATATTAGTTTCACCTTTTAAGTTGCATCACTGAAATAAATGAACTTTTGCATGATATTCTAATTTTTCGAGTTTCCCCTGTAAATTACTGGCCAGTCTATTCTTTAAAACCTCCTGCAATGGAGCATCCACAACTTCTGAAGGCAAGTTATTCGTTCTCACTGTCAGAAAATTTCTCCTTAATTCTAGACTGGATCTCTCTTTACTGATCATTTCTTGCCCTGCCTTCAGATGCGTTGGAAAATTGGCTGATCCCTTCTTCTCTGTGATAGCCAGGTTGCAAACCTTCTTAGGCAAGTGGGCACGCCTGGGCTTGAGAGGATGATGCAGCCTCTGATAAGGATCAATGTTTGCTTTTTATTAAAGGGCTGCCATAACATTTCAAAATTCTAAAAAGCAATCTACTGAGGTTAAAACTAAAGTAATTTGCTTCCAAACCAAACAAAGACTGTGATTTAAACTTTCTTTGTCTGGTCATGTTCGCCCGCCCCGCCCTCAAATGTAATAAGGTTTTTGAAAATTCAAAAATTGTATGCTGCATTAAAACAATTTCTTTCTTTCTTTCTCTCTCCCCCCTCCCCCCTCTCTCTTTCTTTCTTTTAATTTAATTTCAGATTGTGTCTAGAGGTATCCCCATGAAGGGAAGGAGAATTCACACTTGCTCAGGGAAAAGATATACCATTTTTTATGGAAGAAAGAGCCAGGTATTTTAAACCAGTCAAAATATGTTAAAGCTAAAGCCTTTAACTTTTTTTTTTTTTGCTTTTGCCAGCCACTTATAAAACAAATCCCATATCCTATAAAATTGCTCGTCTTCTTGTTCTCTAATTTCAGTTGTCAATTTGCTCATTTCAGCACACTCCATTATCTTTCGAATAACTTCTTCCTGTTTTGGTATTGTTTCATTTTTCCAGGTTTTTGCAAATACAATTCTAGCTGTTGTTAAAACATTTATAATCAAATATTTTAAGTCTTTATTATACATTTCTGGTAAGATTCCCAGTAAAAAAATCTCTGGTTTAAGNGTGCAGGGCAAGAAAAGTAGTTTGTGGGACTACTTCCAACTTCTTGAGATTTTTTTTCTTTTTTTTTTGCGAGAACTTGGAAGGTATTTTCTGATATATTTTTTTTACCATAGGCACACAGTCTACTTTTCTTGTCCTGCACGTGGAGCGGAGAATGGAGCTGGAAAGCGTTAGTGAAGGGATGTGGCTGCCTTAGCACAGTCAGCTGTTCCGCAGCCAGCAAGCAGGGCAGTCCCAAGCCAGGATGCAGGGAGAACTTGGGTCATTGTGGCTGCAGGCAAGCAGGTGGTGGGATGGAGAGGGTGGGGCTGGTGGGCTTGCTGCTTCCTGCACCTGAAAAATAATAAAACCTCCCCGAAAAATAAGGCCAACCTCTTATTTGGAGGATCAAAAGAAAATAAGACCCTGTCTTATTTTTGGGAAAACATGATAAGTACACCTAGGAATTATCTCATCCTTTCTACAGGTAGTCCTCGACTTAAAACCATTTGTTTATAGTAACTATGAAGTTACAATGACAATGGAAAAAGTGATTTATGACCGTTTTTCACAGTACCATTGCAGCATCCCCATGGTTCCATGATCGGAATTTGGATGCTTGGCAGCTGGCATGTTTTTATGACGGTTGCAGTGTCTCAGGGTCATGTGATTAACTCTTGTGATCTCCTGACAAGCAAAGTCAATGGGGAAGCTACTTAATAACTGCTACTAACTTAATAATTGTAGTGATTCACATAACAACTATGGCCAAAAAAGGTTGTAGAATGGAGCAAAAGTTACTGTCTTGCTTAACATCAGAACTTTTGAGTTCAATTGTGGTTGTAAGTTGAGGATTACCTGTATAGATAACAAATACCCAAGTTCAGATTCAAATATTTTGCCTTGGAGGCAGTGGGGAAAGGACGATCTTTAATCTTGTTATTCTACTGTTGAAAGTTATATTAGAGAATGAACAACCTAAGAAGACCTGATGTCAACATGGCATCTGCTTCTGCAAAATCTGGTTGGTCATAGGACTGAACGGACCCTCCTCTTTCTCCTCCCTCGCAAATATTTTTTGCTGAATGCAAGAAGAGGGTACAGACTCCTCTGACTAGTTAAAGGAGAGACACTCAAACCATGGATTCTTCTAATACCCAGAGAAAAAAAGTAACTATAATTGGGGGAGGATTGGTAAGATCTTTTAAAATATTATAAATATATAACAAAATTATGGTCACTGAGCAGAATTGCCAATCAAATTTTAATCATACATTGCTAGGTATTGAATAGTGGCTATTTTTTGTATTTGAATGAAGCAGGAAATCTAACAAGGTTTGTCTATTTGACAGAAAATGTTTCAATCTTTAAAAATCTGTTTAAGCTTAAAATAGTTGCACATTCTGCGATGATAAAGGGTTGTTTTCATATCATAATTCGTTTTCACATTATCATATGGTTTCTCAATGGCTTTTGAAATGCATTTGTAGGAATGCTGGATCTGTTTGTTTTCAGCAGTTCTCCCCTGTAAATTGTAGCTACTGAAGTTCTGTTGGTATTTTGGAGCACCGTTTAAATTTTTAATTGGCACCAGTCTGCAGAAATCAGAAAGCTACCACAAGATGTTCCATGTCTGCTGAGTATGGGATGGCATGAATTTGTGTGTGCAAGAGAGAAAGAGAGAGTGAGAAAGTGTGTGTGTGTGTGTGTAAGGGGGGGGGGTAATGTTACTTTGTATAAAAATGAATTGGGAGTAAATTTAATTTGATTCTGTGTAGGATTTAGCTTCTTGAAACTTTCTGAGAAATTTATTATTAAGGACAAGTGATACAATAACAGATGCCTGTTTTATTGTTAAAAGATATAAAGCCTCTCCTGTGTCTAAAAAAATAAGGATAAAGTAATATGGAAATTGGAATATGATCTGTAAAAGACATTTGTCTTTTCCTTAAAAGTTTCTAACTGTGATACTATGATGTGAATGGCAGCAAGTTAGTAGAGCCAATTTCTTCTAATTGGAAAGGTTCTGTGCATAACAATATACCTGTTAAAAGTTGGTAAAATTTGTGGTTTTGAAAAAATTAAAAAAGAAAGCAATTCTAGACACAAATATGCCTTAAATACAGAATTGAGAGTGATTGTGTGATAAATAAATAAATGTAAAATAAAACATGACATAAACATGAAAATATTATAACAAGACAAAACTTGCTTTTGACTGTTATAAGAAACAATGATTAAATAGTTTCTCTATTCTCTGCTTTTCATTACTCTTTTTATAAAAGAAACTTCTTTATGTAGACAGAAACAATGAAGCGACATATTCAAAATCTTCACATTTCTAGCAGAGCAAAGTCTCTCAACATTTACATTTTGTCAACACCTTGTCGAGCCTGGTTCACACGAATATATCATTTTGGGGGATTTGGTTGACTTCATTCTCCCCTACAGAAAAGGCTTCAGATGCAGTATGCATTTTAAAACCATATTGCATTCTCTCAAATCCTTTTCAGCATATTTTTGTTTTTGACTCAGAAAAACTGCAATGCTTCTGTTGCAGGTGGGTTCTCTAAATGCTTCTTTCTTTGCAAGAAGGGGATTCCAAGTAGAAATGTATGAAGCAAGATCAGGTATGATCTGTTACTTGATAATATATGAACATTTTAGATGATAATCCTACTTATATAGATGCCTGCAAATCTTACTGGAATGCTGTTTTTGAAATTTCTCATTCTTTCAGAAGTGGAGATTTTATAGTATTAAATCACCAGGAGATTTTGATAATTAGCATTATTTATAATAAAGTGATTGTTTATATTTTTCAGATCAAATACAGCATCTCTGTTGTCCTTATATTTGCAAGTTAGAGCAATAGGACCTGCTTCTAAATTTCACATCATGAATTTATACCGAAATTTATTGATCAAAATTTCACAATCAGTAAAAAAAAATGTAGAATCTTTATTTTACCCCAAGTGTGATTTTAAAAGCAAAATAAAAATCTGTATGTTCAATCATGTTGCCTGTGAATACAGTACTCAGGACGTAGAAGTAGAGTGACAAATATTACACTGTGCAGAAATACAGCATCAGTGATTCCAAGACTAAGGAAATGGTGTTGTCCAAAGCCAAAGTGTATGCATGATATGTTAATAAAGTCACATGAGAAGATAAAATCATATACCCGTATTTTTCAGAGTATAAGACACACCAGAGTATAAGATGCACCCAGGTTTTGAAGAGGCAATTTTTTTAAAAAAGTAGGTAGGTAGATAGAGGGATAGAGAGGGAGAGAAAGAGAAAGAGAAAGAGAGAGAAATACAGTAGGTAGGTAGGGAGAGAGTAGGTAGGTAGGTAGGTAGGTAGGTANTGCCAGTTCTTCCTTTTCCAGTAGATCCATTTTATGTTTAAGGCAATCATTGAGTGGGTGGGGCAAGTGAGCATCAAGAAGGTGGGCGGGGCAAGTGAGCAGGTGAGCAAGTGTTGGGAGAGAGAGCATTAAGTGAGTGAGCAAGCGTCAAGCGGGCAGGTGGGGCCGGCGAGCAGAGAGCTGGTGGGTGGGATGAGCAAATGGTGACCAGGAAACTGGGGCAGGGGCAGGACCAGCCAGAGGTCACTACTGGTTCGACGAATCAGGTGAGGTTTCCCCTTCCAGTTCGTCCAAACCAGGGCGAACCGGCTGAATACCACCTCTGATGCACACACACATGCGCATACCTGCCACTTCCATAGCCAAAAGGCCCAAGCCCTGGTAAAGGGCCATGGCCCGGGGGTTGGAGACCCCTGATAAATAGCACTGTCTTTTTGGAGCATCATTGCATTCTGATCCTTCATATGATCTTGTATCCTGAAGAGTATAATGTAATCATCTGATTTTAAATGACCAGTTCAAGTCCATCTAAAATCCTAAGGCAGGGCTGTCAAACTCTCAGCCCGCAGGCCGGATATGCCCACGCCCAATTTAGCAAAAAGGGGAAAAGTCGCGATACCTCATGTGACACCACCATGACGAGTTTGACATCCCTGTCCTAAGGCATCAAATGTAGTATGCTTCATTTCTGCTTTGATGATTTCAGGGTTTTTTTTGTTCATGCTTCTCACATTCTCTTTTCCAATTGTTTCAGCAGTGATACCACCACTGACTAGCAATAGCGCTTAACTTATATACCACTTCACAGTGCTTTACAGCCCTTTCTAAGCAGTTTACAGAGTCAGCATATTTTCCCCAACAATCTGCTTCTCATTTTACCAGCCTCAGAAGGATGGAAGGCTGAGTCAACCTTGAGCCTCTCACAACTGAACTCCTATAGTGAGTAGTGAGTTAGCCCTCCAGTACTGCATTCCAACCACTGCGCCACCACTAGGTATGCTTGCCATTCTGGTCTGGTGAGTTCATCATTTCCAGATTTACCTGTGAATATTCAATATTCCTCCCAAGTATCTAAAGCAGTTCCTTCTGATGTAAGGGTGATAATAGAGCCAAGGTGGCGCAGTGGTTAAATGCAGCACTGCAGGCTACTTCAGCTGACTGCAGTTCGGCTGTTCAAATCTCACCGGCTCAGGGTTGACTCAGCCTTCCATCCTTCCGAGGTGGGTAAAATAAGGACCCGGATTGTTGTTGGGGGCAATATGCTGACTCTGTAAACCGCTTAGAGAGGGCTGAAAGCCCTATGAAGCGGTATATAAGTCTAACTGCTATTGCTATTGCTATAATGTCTCACCAGCTGGTGTCTAAACCTGCCTGAAGTTTCAGCCATATGCATATGGTTCTCTTGGTAAAAATACTCTTCTATTGCCTTCTATGTATGGTATTTGGAGATGCTTCTTCTAATTTTTGGCTTCCTTTATGTCTTCATAGCCTCACTTGCTATGGTCTGTGTTGTGACTTTCCTTACCCTTCCTATTTCACAAACAAGATTGACTCTGGAAATCATATTCCTATCAGCACTGTTCTCAGAGTTTTTGAAAATATGGGGTCCTCCAGCACATCCAGAGATACTTTTTTGGGATGGACTTTTAGTAACCATGGCCTCTGCTCATGAAAAGAATCCAAGATTTATATTGCTAAAATATTGGGAAAAGTGTATTGTACAAGGCTATATTCATATAGTTAAACATATAAAATGTTCTCTGCCTTATTTTGTTTTTGTTTGTTTTTAAACAGTATATTCTCTCTATAGATAGAGCAAATTTGAATAAGGAGTTATTAACTGGTAAGTGTGGCTTAATCTGTTTTGATCCTTTCCCAATTTATCATATTTAAAATTATGTTGTGTTTGAGGTAGAATCATCATTACACAGATAGAATCAAAATATAAGAAGGATGAATGGCTATTTACTGTAAAATGAGTATCTTCATCTTTTGCATGAGCAAAGACTATAAGCAGTAAATGCATGCTGTGTAGAAAGAGAGAGGGACTCAAAATCAACACCTCAATAAAGTCTCTGAAGACACCAACTCTTAAAACCCATTAGCTCTCTGCTGTCTGTCAACCGGCTGCCAGGTTCTTAGTTTTAAATACTCCTTCAAGGTACACCTCCACAAGATCAGGCAAGCTAAACATCTCAGTAACTACAAGACAGAGAGTTTATCCAGTCATTTTGCTTTAAATGGCTAGCAAAGCGCGCACTAAGGGAACAGGTAGTAAAACCAGGAGCAACCCACCTCTGCAAATTATCCATATCTAACTACAGGGATCTTAGTGAATGGACTGGGTGAGAAAAAGTGATTAGAAAATGTGCTACATTCTATAAAACTATTACAGAACTATTCTTGTGAACTATTATTGTGAAGAATGAATATATATATATATATATATATATGTATGTATGTATGTATGTATGTATGTATGTATGTATG